TGTCAAATAGGAGAAGAGAATAATTCAGTAATTGTTACAAGCATCAGGAAACGCTGTCGGTACAGTTTCCAAGCCAGTAGCCACCTGGATGGAACACGTTCATCTGAGAAGAATAAGACACTTTATGGGTGAACAGAGGTTTATGAGGGATAGACAGATATTGGAAATGTCAGAGATGGAATGGAGTGTTTTGTCTTTGCCTTGCTGTTTCACATGATCTGCAGAGCCTGCTGGAGACGCGTGTGTGTGTGTGTTATTTCTGGCTTATGACTGTGTTAGGTTTTAGAGGCCTGCAAGACTGCGAATCGTACATGCCCACTGGTGTTCTCACAAGGCAGAGGACCTAATTGGCTGTATCCCAAGCTGTGTGTGTTAGTGTGTGTGTGTGTGTGTGTGTGTGCTTGCGTGCGCGCACATCACTGTGTCTGTTTGTGCAAATGTGTGCAAGCTCAACTGAATTTGAAGTCCATGATGTCCATTCTGTCGGTGTGTGCACAGAAAAATGAATGTGTTTTTTTTGCATCTGTTTGTATATTTTGTGTATGTATGTGTGTGTGTTTCTATTTGACCTTTCCTTGGCTTAAGTGTCGAGGCTCACACTCAGACAGTCGGTTGATAGCATTTTCTTTTTATTTGTCTGTACTTGACAAAATTGTGCTAACCTTTTCTGAAGTCATTTGCTGCTTTTCTCTCTCACTGTGTTGCTGAGTGCCCGGCACATCTCGCAATATATGAACCATATGTAGCATTACTGTGTTGCAATTACAATTTACTCTGCGTAGACCCACTTAAGATAAGTGCTCTGAAAAGACAAGCAAAGAGAAGCAACTGCTGTCAGCAGCGCTGGGAGAAAAAACTTCAGGATCACTGCTCTTGTCAGAAATGATGTAACGTTGCCCTGCTGTGACTTTAAGTATATGTTTTTTTAAAAGCTTTAATAGCAGCTCTATTATGACTGTGGTGAATGACAGTAATTATGATGCAACTGACAGGGAGGCTATTTGCTTAAGCTTTCGGTGCTTACGTCTCATGCTGCGAGCATGCATCTGCAGAAAATATAAAATAACAGATTTCATGGCCGCGCACGCTGTTTGTTGATTAAACAATGCAGGATAAAGTGTTTAAAATGCATACCCTGGGCCGGGCTGCTGTTTGCTTTGCAGCGATGGGCTGCTGTTTGCCCTGATAATAGGGAGGGCCCGCGTGCACGGGCTCTGACCCGCGCGCACAAAGCTGCTTTAAAAACACAGAGATGACGTGTCCACTCATTTGTGATCACGCGCAATTACTCCGGCAGATGATAATGTTGAAAGGGCCGGTCGGCCTTTCTTAGCGTTTCAGATGAGAGGCTGGGACCTGCGGACTCAGCACACACAGCCACACACAGGCCCACACCAATGTCCCTTTCAGCCAAAGCACATATACACATTTATGTACAAGGCAAACACACAGTCACACGCTCGCGCACTGTCCTTGGGCTCACAGGCACCCTCACACACACACTTTGTCCAACACACACTCAAAACGTAACCTTGACCTGTCGTACTCCCATTCTGGAAGCTCATACATACTTCATAGGTTCACTGAGGGATGGCTCACACACTGACACACACCTTTGAGCACGTATCGATCACACGAGCATTTGAAAATACTCATTCAAATCAGGGCACGGGAGAGATTTGTGAAAAGAGAGAAACTTCTACCCAAGAGAGCGAGGGAAGGAAACAGTTGTAATCACAGGTTGATGGAGCCGTCCGGGCTTTTGAACAGATTCATTTTTTTGTGCTTTTATTCAACATACAAACGTGTTTCATCTGACTGAAAAAGAAAAGTTTAAATTCAACGATAATGAATTTACACAGATCTAAAAATGAAAAACAATGAAAATACTTGAAATAAAAAAATATGTTTTATACAAAATGTCATTACATTTTTTTTTAAACATTTCACTTCACAGTAACAACTCATTAAATCCCTAACAGGTTGATAAAACCATCGCAGCACTAAATTTCACATCTAGTTTTCCCAAATTGGCACCGCGGCTCCTTGCTTTCATCCAAATTCAGCCATAAAATTAGAGCATACACAGGCCTACTCGGTGATGAATTTCACTGTCAAAGACAAATTCGAAATAAATCTCTCGCCACGGACTTCCAGCGTGTGTCGCACTCTGATAATTTCCACAATATCCTCTGCAAGCCCCAGGGGCAGATTTTTTTCCCTCCCGTTATTTCTCTCTCCATCCTCCTGCGTTTGTTTCTATCCCTGTAAAATGCTGGTTGCTTTACTGAAATACTGCAGTGCTTTATCTGCCCTCTTTTTCCTCCCTTTAGTCCCCTCTCACTCCTTTCCTCCCTTTTCCTCCACCCCACACACACCTTTAGTTGTTGTTGTTGGAGATGCTGGTGGTGGAGAAGGGGGTGGGGGGGGGGGGGGAGGGGTGGGGGGGGGGGGATGGTAGTAGAAGCAGCCAGGACCCAATGACGTGGGTGCGACATGTAACCGTGGCGCA